TGTAATGGCAGGTGGATCCATCCATGTCTAATGGGAGGGTAGCTACCTGTTTCTGAGGTTGGCAGAAGTATCAGGAACCAGACTTGGGCTTAGATGGAGGTGCCATTTCCACATCACTACAGAATTTTCTGGGTATTGGAGTTCAGACAGGACTCGATGCAAGCAGAGAATGTCAGGTAGCAATGCCATCACGTCTCCCTTCAGTGACATTCCTTTTTTTCCAGAGGAGGACAGTTTCAGGTTCATTAGCAGAAGTATGTCCTTGGAAGCTTGGCTGACAAGAAAGTGGAGTCTTATTTCCAAAGGCCCCCAGGGGCTGTGAGATTGATCCCTGATATCTGTGATTCCAAGGGTCTGAAGGAGCTAGATAGATACTGACGACTGGACTGCTTTCTAAGTGATTTGCCTCCCCATGTGTAGTTGCCTACCTGATACATTAAGCATGAAGTAAAAATCCCAGGTATGACTTGTTTCTAGAGCAGGCTAACCTATCCCTATAGTTGAACACAGGATTAGCATTTTGATTTCAGTAAGTGTATAACATTCGGGCATTCGACATAGTGGTGAACACACTGCGTAGGACACCTGCATTCCACATAGGCTGCCTGGCTTTGAGTCACAGCTCTACTCCCAATTCCAGCTTCCTACTAACGCAGACCCTGGGAGGCAGCAGGTGACGGCTCCAATACTTGGGTTCCTGGCACCCACGTGGGAGACCTAGATTGAGTTCCCAGTTCCTGGTGTTGGTCAGGCTGGCTCCAGCTGTTGTGGCCTTTGGAATGTGAATCAGTAGATGGGAGTTTTTCTCTCTCTCTCTCTTTCTCTCTCTCTCTCTCTCTATATATATATATGTGTGTGTGTGTGTGTGTGTGTGTGTGCCTTTCAAATACAATAAATGAATATGCAATTAAAAAATAAGAGAATAAAATGTCTCTCTGGGCTATGACACAGGAAGTCACCAAGCAGGTCACAACAGAGCTGCTGCTTCTTCCTCGGAAGCCCACCCACACCTGTAAAACCGCATGCAGCAGAATGCAAGCAGCTCCCTCAGAAACTGGAGTCATCAATTCAGTGCAGTGTTTGGTCCCAACCAGTCGTTCTCCCTGAATGAGTGCCTGTGCAGCTTATTGGTGATGCACTGCTGGAGAGTTGGTTATGTACTGCTGGACTTGGTAGATGTAGGCACATGATAGAGTGACATCTCAACAGATAGAATGTTCAAAAGAGCATAACTAAACAGGATCCAAAGCACAGATTACTAAGAGAGTTATGAGCTGGATGAGTGGACCAATAAGAGATGGTGAATTACCCAAGGTTTAGTGCCAGAGGGAACTGCTATTAGCTCTGAAGTAGACGCACAGTATTGGCAGATGCAGGGGGGCTGATGATAGGAAAGGCTGCACCAACAGGGACTGTCTCCAAAGATGAGCGCAGCTGCAGCCAAAATCCCAGCAGGTGGAGGTGAGAAACCCTAAATCCTCTCTTCTCTCCCCTTCCCCATTCTCCTACCAATGCCCCACCATTGGCTTAGCCTAGCCTGATGTCAAATCACAAGAGAAGCCAGGCAAGAGAAGAGATCGTAGAAGACAGCCTTGTGGGGGCACAAAGGGCCTTTTTTTCCTCTTCTTCCTGGAGTGTATAAAAAAGAAAAGTACCAGCCCCTCCAAGCATGATCATGTGTCACTGATGGCACAACTGTAGCTCAGCCATGCACTTGTATCAGACACTGCAAGATCAACATGGCCACTTACCTGTGTAAGCCTCACTAGGACACTCCACTCGTGGCTTCTGCAGTCCTGCAGGGCTATTGAATGATGGATGTAGGTTTTCAGCACCCTGGCCAGTACTGCATCTCCTGGGAGAATACTGTTTTTCTCTCTGCAGGGTAGCAGATATCATTTCAAGGAGAAGGCTTGGCAATCACAGGCTATTGCTAGCCATACCCTCAAGCCACCATATAAGGAGTCACCAGTAGGTGTATTCATTTGGCAGGTCTCCTCACCATGCTCCCAGAAAATTTCACAAGCTGCAGGAGAACAAGAAGCATGTTGCAGACAAAAACAAAATAACAAACATTTGTGGAGTGAATTCAACACTATTTAAGGGAAGTCTCTGCAGGCACCTAGTTGGATCAGCTGCTAGCACTATGCTATCAATCTACATCCACTCTGGGCTTCTCATCAGCCACGAGTTTGCCTGTGGTTTTGCTCCAAGAACAGCTGAATCCAAGCCAGAGCTCTGTGTCATTGCACTGGGCTGATTGCCTTTCTGAGCTGCAGTCAGTCCTACCTCGCCATTGTCCCTGCTGCAAGGCAGAAGCACATTCCCGACTTGTTCTGAGCTCTGCTTTCCTTGGTGCCAACCACCAGCAGCCCTTTGTCCCAGGGTTTGTCTTTGGGGCCACACACTTGTTTTGGGGAGTTGGCGTCTGGCAGTTCCACTGTGGTTCCCCCACCTCCCCGTCTCCTGGGCTCCCAGAAGCAGGAGCTGCCTCACCATAATCAAGAGACCTGACACCAGCACCCCCAGGAAAGAATGTTTCCTGCCTCAGGGAGGCCCAAGGGCGATTCCAGATGTGCTTTGCACATGGACACAGGGAGTGAAGCTTCACAAGGCTTCAGAGGCCAAGGGCAACCCATCAGTGCCACGTGGCACCACCACAAACTGGGTGGGTGGGGCTACATGCAGAGAAGGAGAGTACACAAGACCTCCTCCCCCATTCCAGCTCCCATCTTTCTTGTCCCATGGAGAGGTGCCCCCAGGCTGGGCAGAGTGAGACTGTACCTACCCCCAAAATGCACTCAACAGAGAGGTCCCCTACGCTACGGTGTTCTGCATATGGAGAAGGAGGCGCACCTAGGCCACCATTTTGCAGGAAGCCAGCATCTTGTGCTTGCTGTCCTGACTCCGAGATAACTGAGTTTTGCTGAGGCAGGCAGTTGCTAACCTGCAAATGGGGAGAGGGGCTGGTGTTCAGTGCAGTGATTAAGATGCGGCTTGGGGCCGGTGCCGCGGCTCAATAGGCTAATCCTCCACCTAGCGGCGCCGGCACACCGGGTTCTAGTCCCAGTCAGGGCGCCGGATTCTGTCCCGGTTGCCCCTCTTCCAGGGCAGCTCTCTGTTGTGGCCAGGGAGTGCAGTGGAGGATGGCCCAAGTGCTTGGGCCCTGCACCCCATGGGAGACCAGGAGAAGCACCTGGCTCCTGGCTTCGGATCAGTGTGATGGGCCGCGGCGGCCATTGGAGGGTGAACCAACAGCAAAAGGAAGACCTTTCTCTCTGTCTCTCTCTCTCACTATCCACTCTGCCTGTCCAAAGAGTAAACAGATAAGAAGAGATGCTGCTTGGGATACTTGGCTTCCTGCTATTGCTCACTCTGGGAGGTAGCAGATGATGGCTCAAGTACTTGAGTTCCTGCCACTCACAGCAGAGACTTGGACTGAGTTTCAAGTTCCTGGCTTTGGCCTTGTATAGCCTTGGCCAGCGTGGGCATTTGGAAAGTGAATCAGTGGATGGCAGTTCTTTGTCCCTGTCTTTCCCTAGCTTAATCTCTATGTCTCTGTCTCTCAAAATTAAAATAAATAAATAAATAAAAGTTTGTATTCACGGGCTTTTTTCCCCCTTTTCCTTCAGTTCTATATGGCTTAGATGGCACTGTGTGGGATTCTGTTTTTCTTTAAGGTTTTGGTATTTTCTTCATCATGGAATTTTTCTGCATTAATTTGCACTGTTAAAAATACTGCATTACACATCATTTCTCTTGGTTCCAGAGTGTTTTGATATCTTCCTTCAAGTTTGTGCCTCTTTCACTTCACCTCAGCCCTGGCTGTAGCACTAAGGTAACTCTGCATTAGGGCATAGCTTAGACCAAGCCTAAGTGCAACAGCATAGCAGAAGGAAATGCACTGTGCCTGAAGCCCTTCTCAGCTTTTGGATTTAAGACAGCAGCCCATCTGAAGGGCAAATGGAGACCAACATAAACTGGGATCAAATCTCCTTGCAACCACTTACATAAATAGGCAGAGCTCCCTTGCAATGAAATGCAATAGAAATGACTGTTCTGTTTCCCTTTATACATTCCACCTGAATTAACCTTTCAACTTGTTGAATGCCATTTGGGGTTGTTAACGAAGCTGATGACTGAAAGTTTACACCTGGTGAGACCGACAAACAGGAGACAACCAACCTGAATCTAGTGCAATAAACGCTCTAAGTAAGTGCGTAAACCGTTTGGAAGTACAGAGATGGAGTTAAGAGTTGTTTTGTTTTGTCTGGCTGGGCAGACAAGGGATTAAAAGCATCAAACAAAACCATAAATAGAAAGCTTACGAGTATGGCAGATAGAGACAACGAACTTTTGGGAGAACAGGGAGATCGTTTCCACTTCTCCAGTCCTGGAGTAACTTCCTCCAGGATGTGGAAAAGTCTGGAAAAGGCAGCTTGGGAAATTAACATTTATGCAGAAGCCAGTCCACCATTTCACACACAAATGAGATAATTACAATCCCTCATCCACCACAGGTGGGCGAATTTCATTTCCCAGTTTGGGAGACGAGCTTTACCCTGAGAGGGGGGACTCGGCTCGTAGCTGCCGGCCACGGGTCGGGGCGACAGAGACTGAGGGGTTCCCGGGGTGGAAACCAATAGAAGCGAGCCGAGCTAGCCTGAGATAATGCGGCGAGGCTTCGAGGGTACCGGCTGTAAAATCACGCACGACAGGCTGAGAGGACTGAGGCAGAAGACTCGGGAACGAAGGCTGACAAGTTTAGGAAGCAGAACACGACGGCAGAATGGGGAGACGAGACGGGTGCAACAGGGCAGGGAGCGCAGTCAACGCAGCGCGGTCCCGACTGGCGGTGGTGCAGCCGCGCCTCCAGAGGGCCTGCGGGGCGTTGGGCGGGGCCCTTCCGGGTGCCGCCTCTCTGCCCGCCCAGAGGGCGGGACAGGCCTGGCAGTTACATAACAAACCTGTGCGAGCGGCTGGGGCGCTGGCGGCGGGGCGGGGCCTGGGCGGGGCCGGGGCGGGGCCAGACCGGAGCCAGACCTGCACCGGGGCAGGCAAGATGGCGGCCATGGAGGCCGAGACGGCACCGCTGACCCTAGAATCGCTGCCCACCGATCCTCTGCTCCTCATCTTGTCCTTCTTAGACTACCGGGACCTAATCAAGTAATGGGACGTCGCGTAGGGCTGGGGTGGGGACACGGAGGGAGGAGGCGGTGAGGCAGGAGGGAAGGAGGAGGAGGCCGCCGACAGAACGCGGACTCCCACGGAACAGAGGGTGACGCCAGGGCCGCTCTTATCCTGCAGAGCCCCCCGGGGACCCGGGCGAGACTGGGGCGGGAAGGGGCCCGCCCCGAGGTCTTCCTCCTATCCTGGACCCAGGCCTGAGGAGCGACGAGGGCCGTCTCCGCCAGGCCGCGGCGAGGCCCAGTTGCCAGGCAATGCTCCCCACGCCGTCCCGCAGCGCCCCGCGGACCCCCTCGGGTCCCCGCCTGGTCTGGCACAGCCTGGCGGCTGTGAAAAAGCCGCTGTCCATGCCGAGCACTTTTCTCTGGGGCCGGTGGCCCTGCAGAGGCAGGCGCCTGCGCTATGAGGTGGGCGGCGCGCCATAAGGAGACAGGTGGCCCCGACCCCCAAGGGGTGACACCCGTGCCTCGATCCCTGGCGAATTGTTTTCCTCTCGTTTTTCCTCCATAAGATTGGATGCTGATTTGTGTTTTGGGACTTAGGTACCCGAGACAGTCTTCTTTCCTGTACGCTTTGAGTTTCCCACCTGACAGGCACCTGTTCCCCAAATAAACACTGGTTGCTGAAAAAAAGGTGGCTAAATGCTTAATTCTTCAGAACTTGGGGGTTCCCTGGGATGGGGGAGGAGATGGCACTGCCTCCCCCAGCCCTCGGGTGTCACGATTGTTTACATCTTGTCAGGTGGTGACATGGCTGAGTTTCGTGTCCTACCGTGTATACTTGGAGAGGAGACAAATCGCCCTCAGGATGGGTGGGCAAGATCCGTGTTGTTAGTGCTGCCGCTGACCACTGGAGTGCAGGCATCGGTGCTTGTGCCTTGTGTTGGTGGGGTCTTGTTAGGATTGCACACTTTTTGGAGTTGCAGATAGCTTTGGTTGGCGTAGTGGAGCGGTGACAGAGCTGGAGCTCTTGGCCGCTTCTTGCAGTGTGTGCTTGCACTTGTCTTTCTGAACAAGTCCTCTTCCTCAGGTTCGGACTCAGAGAAGGAAGAGTGTTCTTCGGGAAAGGCTGCTCTGGCACCACCTGTTTTCATCTGAAATATTCTGCTGCTGTTGCCTCGCTATTTAGATGCTCCCGATGTCCCCTCTACTTTTGATTGCTGCTAGAGGGGTTTTCCCAAGACAAATCTAGCTGCCATTCTTCAAAACAGAACACTCCCTTATTTACAGACTGTAACCTCAACTTCTGGGGCATTGAAGGCCTTTACCACCTGGCTTATTATCTAAGGCTTTTCATGCCTTATTTCTCCTCCACTATCTTATTTGCACAGTTCACTCTGACCAGATCAGACCTCTGCCAGCATACCACACTCCTGTGCCATTTTTGTTGTGTGACTTAAGTTCCTAACCTTTTCTGGAATGCCTTGGTCTCCTTCTGTCAAATTGGCAAGATAGAACCCCCTGTTTACCTTCTTCCTTTTATTTATTTATTTAAAGATTTATTTATTTGAAAGAGAGAGCGAGATCGATCTTCCATTCTGTGGTTCACTCCCACGTGGGTGCCGGGGCCCAGGCACTTGGGCCATTTCCCGCTGCTTCCTCAGGCACATTAGCAGGGAGGGGTATGGAAAATGTAGCAGCCAGGACTCGAACCAGTGTTCATGTGGGATGCCTAACCCTCTGCAGGACGATGCTGGCCCCCTGCATTCTTCGTTTCTCCACAGTATTTCTTTGCCAGGCCAGATAGATGTGCATTTCTCAAATTTTCAAGGTTTTTTTTTTTTTTTTTTTAATTTTAGTGACTACTGTCTGTCAGGCTGTTAAATGGGGGGATGGGGAAGGGAACACAATAGTGAACAAGAGAGAGGTCCCTCGGTGGGCTTCCAGTGTAGGGGGCAGGATGGAAAGACAAGTAAGCGCAGACTTAAGAAGAGGTGCTGAAGGAAATAAATAGGTTTCTGCGTGAGAGAGTGGGGGGAGAACTGTCACTCCACGGCGGAAGGAGCTGCCATACGTGAAATACAGCACAGTGCAGCCCAGGTGGAGGGAACAATGTTCGGAGGCGCATGAGGTCGTGCGACAGGACCGTTCACCAGCATTGCCTGTTGGAGGAGCTAGAAGGCTGGTGCTGCCTAGGTAGGGAGTGACTCAGAGATGAGGCTGGTGAGATCCTGCAGGCCCTGGTGAGCCAAGGTGGGGAAAGCAGATTTTATTTGGAATGCTTTAGGTAGTAATCACATTTTTTTTTAAACAGAAGGGACATGATCCTTCTGTAAATGTCTGTGGAAATAAATTCAATTGAATACCATGAATTTTATTAAAAAAAAAAAAAAGTCCAGTGTACTACAGTTTCTTTCTTGTGTCACACAGCCAAACTTTGGCAAGTCTAGCTCACTGCTAAGCTCTGGTGGTTTTGTTGTGTTTTTGCTGAACTGGGTTGGGTTGGATTAGAGCAGTCCTTGGGACATCATGTGGCATCATTTGCATGGTTTAAGATTGCACGATACTTTCTGTGTTCCATGGTGATTCATTGTCTACTGCTTTTCACCTTTACTGCGCATCAGAAGTACCTGTGGCACTTTTTGAACATGTAGATGCCTGACACATGGATCTCACTCCTAACCAACTGAATCGGTGTCCAGAAGAGTGGTTTTCAATCCTGGTGTGCATCCAAATCACCGTTGATGCTTATTCTGAATTCTTTCATGTTGTTTAACCGCTAGGGCGGTGCAGGGAAAGGAATCAAGAAAAAACTGGAGGGATTCTTCTGTTTATAAAAGTTAGTTCGGCCGGCGCCGCAGCTCAATAGGCTAATCCTCCTCCTGCGGCGCTGGCATACTGGGTTCTAGTCCCAGTCGGGGCACCGGATTCTGTCCCGGTTGCCCCTCTTCCAGGCCAGCTCTCTGCTGTGGCCAGGGAGTGCAGTGGAGGATGGCCCAGGTGCTTGGGCCCTGCACCCCATGGGAGACCAGGAGAAGCACCTGGCTCCTGGCTTCGGATCAGCGTGATGCACCGCGGCGGCCATTGGAGGGTGAATCAACGGCAAAGGAAGACCTTTCTCTCTCTCTCTCTCACTCTCTCACTGTCCACTCTGCCTGTCAAAAAAGGAAGAAGAAAAAAACAAGTTAGTTCGGGCATCTCCTGAGGGCAACAGAAAAGAATGAGGATGATATTTCAGCAAAATCTGGAATCAAGGGCTAGTCTGTTTACCACACATTGGTTTTCAACACGGCCTTGACAAACCCTGTTTAAGATCCCATTTATTGATTAGCTGATGACCAAGTGAAATTCTGAAATTTCTGTAACTGTGATTTCTCTTCTGAAAAGACAGAAATCCATTTTTGTAATCTGGGGTTCATCCTTCTTTTGCAAATTATCTGTAGAGACGTTTATAAGATTGAAGCACTGTTGTGGTTAGAAATCTGAATAGTAAGAGAATTCTTTGCTTCTGACGCTACATGTGTTCGGGTAGTCGGTACTTGTATGGGTGCGAATATGGAATCAGAACTGTTATAACGTAGACCCCTTTTAGAGGTAGACTCTTTAATAGTTGCTTCAATGAGTAAATGTTTTTGGCTGTAGTATTAATTTTTTTCCTGTAAGAAAAAAACTAGAACATAACAAAGGGTCTGTGTAGAGACAATTTCCAGTAATAAGTAAAGTTTCCTTTGAAACTACTTAGTAACTACTTCTTATAAATCTTGAGAAAAGAAGCAAAAACAACCAAAAACCACTTTGTTTAAATTGAATAACATTTCTGTATGTAGACATGATTACTGTCCTGTCAGTAAGTGCAGGAAAGCTGCCTGACCAGAGATGAACTCCAGTGGCGTATGTTTTATAGATTTTCCTATGAAAATTATAATTGTAGAAGCTTCAGAGTTTATTTGGGAACTAAAATAATTAAGATTTCAATACTCACTAGCTAACACAATGAACAGGTTTAGAAAATATTGTTTTGTAACTATTAGGGTAGTATGTGGAAAACAAGCAAAAGGAATAAAGCAAAACTTAATGAATAATTTGGCTTTCATTTTTAAATTGTTTTTCTGTTTTCCTTTATGCTAACCGTGCATCTGGTTACTACCAGTTGTTGCTATGTCAGTCGAAGACTAAGCCAGCTCTCAAGTCATGATCCACTGTGGAGAAGACACTGCAAAAAATACTGGCTGATATCTGAGTGAGTATGCAGGACAATGTATTCTTGCTTGAAAGTTGGCCCGTGGCTCCTGTTACGATTCTCCTCCCTAACCCTTTTCTCCAGCGTTGCCTTTGATAGTTCTTTTTGTATCTGCCAGTAAGTGTTGATGTTCTCCAAGGTTCTGTCCCTAACATTCCGCACTTCTTCCTCCATGAACTCCCCTGCATGCTTTGTTGTAGTTTCTAGCAAGCACCTCTATGGTCCTAACTCCCAAATCTGAATCTCATTACTTGGCATCCCCACTGGACTCTGGGCTTTGTTTGCACAGCTGTTTGCTGGACATTTCTGGTGGCTGTCCATGTGAGTTACTGGATCCGGTCAGGGTTAGCAAGCTGAACAAAATGGAGGTGCAGATGACAGAGGTGGAGTTGGGAAAGGAGAGGTGGGAATACTAATGACTCTTTGAGGGGCACAAGGCAGTGACTCAAGTTGGTGAAGTAGGAGAGGTGCATGTGTACAAACAGAGCTATCACACATTGAGAGGAGGAAGAACAGGGAAGGGAGAAATTTATTATTATTTCTCTGTCCTCGTCTTTCACTTCGGTGTTTTATTGTTGTTAAAATAATAAATCAAGAATGAGAGGTATGAATATTTAAAATTATAGAGACAATTTCCAATAATAAAGTTTATTTTGAGGGCTTGGGCTTAGAATAGAGGACTAACTTTTCACTATAAATTCTTTGGTGCTTTTGGTTTTGATAATATGCATATATTTATACTAATAAAAAGATGCTCCATCCCTAAGGAAGAAACCACTCTGAATTGCTCTTGTCCGCCCTTCCCAGGTCTGTCCTTCTGCATTTGTAGTCTTCACAGCAGCACCATCTTCTCTGATGCTCAAGCCAGAGTTAGAAATCATCCTTGGGGCCGGCCCTGTGGCGCAGCGGGTTAACATCCTGGCCTGAAACGCTGGCATCCCATATGGCGCCGGTTCAAGACCTGGATGCTCCACTTCCGATCCAGCTTTCTGCTATGGCCTGGGAAAGCAGTAGAAGATGGCCTAAGTCCTTGGGCCCCTGTACCCACGTGGGAGACCCGGAAGAAGCTCCTGGCTCCTGGCTTCGGATCAGTGCAGCTCCGGCCATTGTGGCCATCTGGGGAGTGAACCAGCGGATGGAAGATCTCTCCTTCCCTCCTCCCTCCTTCCCTCCTCCCTCCTTCCCTCCTCCCTCCTTCCCTCCTCCCTCCTTCCCTCCTCCCTCCTTCCCTCCTCCCTCCTCCCCTCCTCCCTCCTCCCTCTTCCCCTCCTCCCTCCTCCCTCCTCCCTCTTCCCCTCCTCCCTCTTCCCCTCCTCCCTCCTCCCTCCTCCCTCTTCCCCTCCTTCTCTCTCTGTGTAACTCTGCCTTTCAAATAAAATAAATAAATCTTAAAAAAAATTTATTTGAAAGGCAGAGTTAAAAAGAGAGGGAGAGGCAGAGAGGGAGAGAGAGAGAGATCTTTCATCTGCTGGTCTACTCCCCAAATGGCTGCAATGGCCAAGGCTGGGCCAGGCTGGAGACAGGAGCCAGGATTTTCTTTGGAGTCTCCCATGTGGATACAGGGGCCCAGCATTTGGGCCATCTTCTGCTTTCTCAGGTACATTTGCAGGGAGATGGATCGTAAGTGGAGCAACTAGGACTCAAACCAGTGTCCATACAGGGTACTGTTGTCGCGGGTGGTAACTTAACCTGCTATACCACAATGCTGGCTCCCCAGTATATTTCTTAAAACTATTTATTTATTTATTTATTTGACAGGTAAAGTTATAGACAGAGAGAGAGAGAGAGAGAGAGAGAGAGAGAAAGGTCTTCCTTCCATTGGTTCACCCCCCCAAATGGCCGCTATGGCTGACGCTGCACCAATCTGAAACCAGGAGCCAGGTGCTTCTTCCTGGTCTTCCATGTGGGTGCAGAGGCCCAAGGACTTGGGCCATCCTCCACTGCCCTCCCGGGCCACAGCAGAGAGCTGGACTGGAAGAGGAGCAGCCGGGACTAGAACCCGGCACCCATATGGGATGCTGGCGCTGCAGGCGAAGGATTAACCAAGTGAGCCATGGCGCCGGCCCCGAAACTATTCTTTACATCTAGTAGTAACTATAGTCTGAGTTCAGTTCTTCTTCTTCTTCATCATCATCTCCTCTCTCTCTCTCTCTTCCTCTCTCTCTCTCTTGAAGATTTATTTATTTGAAAGGCAGAATGGCAGGGAGAGAAGAAGAGAGAGAGGGAGAGAAAGGTCTTCCATTCACTGGTTCGCTCCCCAAATGGCTGTAATGGCTTGGGCTGGGCCAGTCCAAAGCCAGGAGCCTAGGTCTCCAGTGTGAGTGGCAGGGGTCCAAGTGCTTGGGCCATCTTCCAGTGCTTCCCTGGGTGCATTAACAGGGAGCTGGATTGGAAGCAGAGCAGCTGGGACTCCAGCTGGTGCTCTGGTACAAGAGACTGGTGTTGCAGGTGATTGCTTAACTCAAGGTGCCACAACACTGGCTCTGATTCAGTTCTTTTAACTTCCTCATAAAATGTTTCTGTGGGCGTGAACATTTGGCTTAGTGGTTAAAACACACCAAGACCCCACATCAGAGGGCCTGTATTCAGTTCCTGACTCCTAATTCCAGCTTCCTGCTAATGTGGACCCTGGGAGGCAGCAGGGATTCAAGGAGTTGAGTTCCTGCCACCCACATAGGAAACCTAGATTGCGTTTCCAGTTTCAATCAGGTCAGGCATTTGGGGAGTACATCAGTGGAGGTCATTGGTGATGCTTTATTCTCTAAGGATAAAGCCCTAGTGCATTAGTATAATTAGTACATTATCTTAAAGCCCTCTGTCCACTGCCGCATCAGACTATCAGCCTGATGATATCAATGTAGTTATGTAAGCATGATTTATTATATGATTCAATTCTAAGTATTCTCTAACATGGAGCAACTGTATGTACCTTTAAAAAATTTATAATTTCTGGGGCTGGTGCTGTGGCACAGCGGGTTAACACCCTGGCCTGAAGCGCTGGCATCCCATATGGGCGCCAGTTCTAGTCCCGGCTGCTCCTCTTCTGATTCAGCTCTCTACTATGGCCTGGGATGGCAGGGGAAGATGGTCCGAGTCCTTGGGCCCTTGCACCCATGTGGGATACCTGGAGGAAGCTCCTGGCTCCTGGCTTCGGATCGGCGCAGCTCTGGCCGTTGAGGCCAACTGGGGAGTGAACCATTGGATGGAAGACCTCTCTCTCTCTCTCTCTCTCTCTCTCTGCCTCTCCTCTCTCTCTGTGTAACTCTGACTTTCAAGTAAATAAATAAATCTTTGAAAAAATTATAATTACCATGTATTAAAATTCATAGCACACATACTATTCACATTTTTTAAAATTTATTTTATTTATTTGAAAGGCAGAATGACAGAGAGACGGAAAGACAGAGAAAAAGAGATCTTCCATCGACTGGTTTACTCTCCAAATGGCCACAATGGGCAGAGCTGGGCCAGGCCAGGAATTCTATCCACTTTCCCAGGCACGTTAGCAGGGAGCTGGATTGGAAGCAGAGCAGCTGAGATTCAAACCAGCATTCCAGGATGCCAAGTCACAGGTGGTGACTTAATCTGCTGAGCCACAATGCTGGCCCATTATTCACATATTTCATTTAAGGTTTATAAGACTTAGAAAAGTGTTAAGTGGAAAGTCAGAAAATAAGTGACTCATGATCCCACCATGCCTGCAGTAATTCCTGTTAGCATTTTTGATGTATATGTCATGTTTGCTATCTAATCTTCATTTGCAGCTAAAATAAACCACAAATCCTCAATAAAGTTTGTTGACAAGGATCTAAAACATATGCTAATGTCATTTCAAAAGATTTTTAACTCTCTTTTTTAAAATCTATTTAGGGAAGAAAAAACACAGAAGAATCAGTGTTGGAAGTCTCTCTTCATAGACACTTACTCTGACGTGGGAAGATACATTGACCACTATGCTGCTATTAAAAAGGCCTGGGATGATCTCAAGAAATATCTGGAGCCAAGGTGTCCTCGGATGGTTTTATCTCTGAAAGGTACTGGGAATTCAGGGTCTCCCTTCTCCATTTTAGTTACTTTTTAGGTCAGTTTAAATAAATAGAAATAGGTTAATAGAAGTAGGTTTAAATTAAAGAAATAGGTTAGTTTCAGTAACTTTGAATCCCTGTTACCAATGCAGCTGTGCTAATGCAACCTTGTCTATAAATCACCCTTCGCATTTGGCCAAGGACGTAGAACACCAGTGTTGCCGAAAAGACCTTCGCTCTTGCTCAGCCTTGACACCCCTCTGAGGTTATTTCTGAGAAGGAAAATTTGAGCTCTTTTTGTTCTTATATTTGTATTATATAGAGAAACTAGTAATACTCTGACTGCTTGGCAGTCATTGTGGTGGTTTATTTTAAATATTTGGTTTTTTTAATTGAAAACCAGTGTTCTTTCCTATTTTTAGTATAGCTATGTGTTTCACAGTCTAATATTTGGAAAAAACCTGAGTCTGAGAGCAGCATAAGAAAACAAGAAAGCAAGCCTATCATTTTGACATTTAGAAAGCAGCAAAACTGAGGTTTGGACTGAGAGCTGTTTGCTACCAGTATCTATGTGCCTTCTACTGTGCTCTTATTGTGTACTTTTGGCAAGAAATATTAGCAAGCGATTTCCCTTCATTGGACTTGTTAATTAATGCCTATGAAAATGTGTAGACAGATTGCAGATATGTTACTGCTTTTCCACTTTACCCTCCACTGAAAGGAATTCTATGTGTGTTTTGGTTTTGCTCTGCAAAAATTGAAATCGCTTATTCTCAAATGTTTTCCTCCCTCTAGAACTAAGATCTCTTTTGAAACAACATTCCTTTTACTTTTGTATTTCCACTGTAATTTCCCACACAAGTATTACTTTTATACAGACCCTGATGGCATGACCAGGTGCTTAAAACTTGAATTACTAGTAGGAAGCAGAAAGAATGGTTTTGGCAGAGATAGGAGAGAGAGTTTTGAAGGAAAATAGTCTTGCCTAATATTTTTTAAAGCTTATTTTCTTAGAAGAAAATATTATTCATTTGTTATGTGAGGTTAAATATTTCAAGAGGAAGGTAATTCTGAAAATAGGTATTTGGTGATGATAAGTAAAATAGGTAAGTGCTTAAAATAGCTATTATGAACCACAAAAGTAGGCACTAAGCTAAGTATTTTGTATTGCACCATTTAGTTTGCAAGCGTTCTCTAAGAGATAGGTAATTACTATTCTTATTTTATAGGTGTACTATTTTTTTTTTTTTTTTTTTGACAGGCAGAGTGGACAGTGAGAGAGAGAGACAGAGAGAAAGGTCTTCCTTTGCCGTTGGTTCACCCTCCAATGGCCGCTGCGGCCGGCGCGCTGCGGCCGGCGCACCGCGCTGATCCGATGGCAGGAGCCAGGAGCCAGGTGCTTTTCCTGGTCTCCCATGGGGTGCAGGGCCCAAGCACTTGGGCCATCCTCCACTGCACTCCCGGGCCACAGCAGAGAGCTGGCCTGGAAGAGAGGCAACCGGGACAGAATTCGGCGCCCCGACCGGGACTAGAACTCAGTGTGCCGGCGCCACTAGGCGGAGAATTAGCCTAGTGAGCCGTGGCGCCGGCCCAGTGTACTTTTTTTTAAGATTTATTTCATTTATTTGAAAGGCAGAGTTACAGAGAGAGATAGATGGAGAGAAAGAGAAATATCTTCCATCTGCTGGGTCACTCCCCAAGTGGCTGTGTTGGTCAGGGCTGGGTCAGGTGTTAGCCAGGAGCCTGGAACTCCATCCATGTCTCCCTTGTGGGTGGCAGGGATCCAAGTACTTGTGCCATCCTCTGCTGCCTTCCCAGGGAGCTGGATTGGAAGCAGAGCAGCAGCCAGGACTTGAATTGGTGCTTCAAACTTGGATACCAGGATCACAGGCGGGGACTTAACCCGCTACACCACGATGCCAGATCAAGGTGTACTACTTAGTGCATAAAAAGCTGAGTTATTTATGTTCACAACGCAAAAGGCAGAGCCAGGATTTGAACATAGGACCAACTCCAGAGCTACAGTTTTAGCACTGGTTGAAGTGAGATATGACCTATTCTCTTTTCATCTTGAATATCCTAGATTTCTGTAAGAACTAGTCCAATATTAGGACACTGAAGAGATGAGGATGGTTCTCCTTGTAGGCACCAAATTACTAAGAAAGGAAGAAACTAAGGCTACACAGCAGCCTCTTCCTTTTGTTCCTTCCCTTTTGGTATTCCCCGGCTCCTTCACTGTTGTGGCCCAGCAGTTGTAGATGATGTTGTCAGAGAAGTCCTCAACAGCTGCTGATTTACTGCCAGTGCCCATTCTCTGGGGCTAGCTCTGAGTTGGAACAGAGGTAAGGCTCTTGACTGTCTGTAGTGTGGAGTTCAAGGGACTCCAGGCTTATGAATTTTACAACTGAGTCAGGACCCCAGCTGTTCACCTCAGGTACACAGCCTCTGATGCAGTTTCAATATTATAGGTCTAACAGTTGGATATAGGCATTAGCCTTGGAGAATTTTTTATGGAGTGTCTTGAAATTATGGTATGTTATTGTTCCTGTAATGTGTCATCAAGTTTCATATTTAACTTCTGTGTTGGCTTGGGATGTTAGAGTTGGAAGGGACCAGAGAGATCTTTTAGACCAGTGGTTGGTCAGCTTTTTTTGGATAGACCAAATAGTAAGTATTTTAGACTTTTTGGTTCCCATGGTCTCTATCACAGCTATTCAACCATGCTGTTGTTTTGGCAAAGTGGCTACAGACAATCCATAAACACATGAGTGTGGCTGTGTCCCAAAAGAACATTATTTACACAGGTGGCAGGCCAGGGTTTGACCTATGAACTGTCATTTGCTGCTCCCTGGTTTATACTAGCACTGTCATTTAACAGGTGAAAAAACATGGCCAGAGAGTTCAAGTGACTTGTGCAAGGCCCCATAATTAGCAAATGACAGAGACAGAACTCTAATCTAGCCTTCTTGGCTTCCAATAACCAATTACTGCTTCTTCTATGAGTAGACTAATGGAGAAGGAAAATGAATGAATGTTTATTGATTACCAATATACTTTATTAAGCACTGAAGTCTACTTAATCCTCACTGTACCTCTTTCAAGTAGGTGATATTATCCTCCTCTTGCAAATGAGGAAGGAAACAAGATTAAAGAAGTTGAAATAACTCAACAGAGATCACACAGACAATAACTGGTAGAGCCAAGATTTGAACCATGGTCTGTCCAGCTCCCAGATTGCATAGTAGGCTGTTACTTTTAACCTTAATTTTACTGTATTTTAAGCATATATTTCCTTCTGCTTGTCTCTCTTTTTTAAAGATGTGTTTATTATTTATTTATTTGAAAGAGTTACACATGGAAAATTAGAAACAGAGAGATCTTTCGTCTGCTGATTCACTCCCCAAATGGCCACAATGATCAGGGCTGGGCCAGGCCTAAGCCAGGAGCTTCTTCCAGGACTCCCACATGGGTGCAGGGGCCCCAAGTACTTGGAGCCATCCTCCACTGGTTTTCCAGGCACATTAGCAGGGAGCTGGATTGGAAGTGGAGCAGCCGGCACTGGAACAGCTGTCCCATAAGGGATGCAGGCGCTGCAGCCCTCAGCTTAATCAGCTGTGCCACAACACTACCCTTCTCTCCTTTTTTTTTTTAAATTTTTTTCTTTATCTCTTTTTTCTTTTTTTTAATTGTTTTTTGTTTGTTTTTTTACCAGCAGATGAAAGATCTCTTTTTCCCTCTCTGTCTCTCTCTCTCTCTCCCCCTCTCCCCTGTAGCTCTGCCTTTCAAATAAACAAAATAAATCCTTTAGAAAAAAACAATTAAGAAATCATTCCTTACCCCCTTCCTCCCCCACCTTCACTCTCCCTCCCTTCCCGTTCTCCTTCCCTTCCTCCCTCCTTCCCTTCCTTCTTTCCTTCCTCTTCGTCTCTTTTTACCCTGTTGTTTTTCTTATTCCTTTTATGTTTTTTTCTATTTCTCTTCTTCAAGAAATTCTTGATTTTTTAATTTTACACATTAAATATGTAACACATAGCACATAACATAGAAAATACTAGTTTCTTTTGTTATCTAACATACTGGTTCAGGAAGTGATTTGGCTTGATTCCTTTTGTATTAAACTTTTTGTTTTAAATTAACATTTTATTTTGGAGTAATTTTAGATTTATAGGTCAGGTGCACAGATAGTCCTAGAGAGTTCTGTATACCCCTCACCTGGTTTCAGGTCCTTCCTAATGTATCCCACCATGGGACATTTATCAAAACTGAAGGTCTTCAGTGCTTCATTACTGTTGTTAACAAAATCACAGACTTATTGGATTCACCAGGTTTTCCATTAATGTCCTTTGCCTGTTCCAGCGTCCAGTTCAGAATACCATACTGCATTTAGTTGTCCTGTCCCCTTAATGGACTCCAGTCTGTGACACTTTCTTAGTCTTCCCTTGGCTTTCCTGAGTTTGATCATTTTGTGAAGTATTCATCAGGTATTTTGTAGAAAATCCCTAAAATTGGTCTTGTCTGATGTTTTACTTATGCTTAGACTGGCGTTAGACTATGCTTTGAAAGGTTAGTGCAGAGATAAAGTGCCCCTCTCAGCACATTACCTGGAGGGTACATGACTTCACTAGTGGCGTAAACTGACACACAGAAATGTGCCCCGCACAAGTGCACATCCATGGAATTATCACACGTGAACAAGCTCGTTGTAGCATCCTCCAGATGTAGAGTAGAAGCACCTTCATATCTCTGCTCTCCTTCACAGAAGCAGCCACTATCCTGATTGCTGGTGCCACCTTTATACAAATTGTGTGATTAAGTATGGATTTTATATGAATTATCTCTATTTTGTTTGTGAGAGTCAGCTGTTTTGTATGTAGCAGTGGTTTCAGTTTGGTTGCAATTTAGTACTCCATTATATGAGTAGACTGAAATGTATATATCTGTTCTACTGTTGATGGGTATTTGGGTTATTTCCAGTTCTGACTATTACAGATAATGCTGTAAATTTTTAT